GGCTTTTCTAAATGGATAATTGAAGTTAAAGTTAAAGGTTGTATTAATGTCACGGTGATATTTAATCCTGCCAATCTAAAGCTCAGTCCACTCTCAGCAGCTCTGTATTATCCCATGATAATAACAAAAACAAACACGTAACAAGGCGAAGGAAACCCCGCTGCGCAAACGCATATCCTCAAAAAGCTATTAATCTTCTCAATGTAGTTGTTCACCCTGAAAACCGAGATAAAGAACCGCAGGAAATGTTTACTTTTCTCCAGCAGGTCTTTGTACTGTGACTCTACGATGAAGAAACCTATAAAAAATACACTGTAGAGGAGGTGCAGGCTTTACTGTGTTCACTCGGTATTTAAAACCGTTCGGATCATCACTTTACTTCACTGTGAGCTTAACAGAACAAGAACAAACAACAAAAGAATGAATAAAATACCTTCAAATCTTTTCTTTCCTTCTTAAAGACTTGAATGCCCCTCATCATCATTAAATTAATTAGCATCCTATAGGTAAACCCCCTAAATTCAAATAGCCCAGTTAAGAGAGACGGCTTCTCTCTGCACGCACAATATGCATGAGGTCCTCTATTGTCAGCGCTTTGTGCCTGTGTGGTGTGACTTTGCATTTCAGGTTGAGTAAAAAGTATTTTTAAGATTGAAAACACACATTTTAAAGGCAGGAATTGGTCAGAATCAGTTAACGAAGCCCGAGCTGCATGTGTGAGACTGAGTGTGAGAGACAGAGAGAAAGTAGAAGTCATAGAACTATAGAATAATGAAAACTGTTCAATTACCTTCTTTACTGTTGTTTTGGCTCTTGTTTTTTTCCCAGGGTCCCATGGCCTTGTCATCCTCTGACCCATCCATCATGGCCTTGTCGCTGGGCACGTACCAGGTGGCGTGCTGCTCTGCCATGAGGGTGTCAAGGTCAATAGTGCCTATTGAGCCCTTCCCAGCATCCGGGCTGCAGCTCGCCAGCTCATTGTCTCCATTCTGCGAGGGACAGTCACCATTCTTTTTGCCATTTTTCATGGCTAAAGGCTGGTCCTCAGAGATACTGAATTGCTGCCTCTGTAGCTGGATCTGGGCCTGCAGAATCTCCAGGGGATGGATTTCTTCCTGGCCAGAGGTGCTGGATGGGGTGCGTACCTGCTCCACCCCAGGAGTGCCCGGGTGGCTCACCCCACTGGCCCCTGTGCCCCCACCAGCATTCAGTCCATAGCTGTCTGGAGTCGAGGTAGTATGATTGTTAATGCCCATGCTCAGGGCTTTTTGTCCATTTATCAACCCGTGGTCACTCCTCTGCATTTTGGGTGAGCCGGTGATCATAGGGCTGCGATTAGGCTTGGTGACTGAGGCCCCTCCAGCATCTGAGCTGGAGGACACCTCATCCTCGTTGCCGTAGTGGGTGCTGACATCGTCAGGAAAGTCCACTCGTGGTGAGCTACTGTCAGACTTGGCCACACTTTGAATACCACTGTCCAATGAAGACATCAGGTCGGCCTGGTCCCCCAACATTAGGTCACCTCCTTTTCCCCATGAGGGTGACTGGAGGTGTTTCTCATGGGGCGTGCCCCCACCCCTCTCCCCAACGCCAGCTGAGGGGGTCTGCTGGCCTGGACTTACAACAGGGTTACCATTGTCAGAGGAAAAAAAAATTCCAGGGCTCACATGTCCACTGTCTCTTTTTCTCCTCCCTCTCCCTCTCCCACTCCCTGTTGTTGCCTTCCCCTCACTGCATGGGGTAGCGTCCATGTTGTAATTTGGGGAGAGGGCACTGGCTTCCCCCTGCACCGTCTGGCTTTGACTTGCAGGCTTAGAGTTGCTATTCCCGGTGCCAGGCATCTGGCTGTTCTGGGAAGTGCTGCTCTGAAAATATTCAGGACCAGCACTGCCAGTCCCATTAGATGTGCTGCTATTAATGTCCTGCTCTGTCTGACTCAGTTTTCGCTTGCCCTCATTTTGGTTCTTCTTGTTGAATGTTACGTTAAGATTGGGGGCCCCTAGGCTAGCGATCATGTTCTGGCAGGCCGTGGAAAGGGCCGCCAGGCAGCTCTGCCCGAAAACACTGTCTTTAGCACTGGTTTTGTTGAAGTTCCCAAGGGACAGAGCTCCAAGCTTACTAACAGACGACCGCTGGCCTGGGGGGAACTCAGACTGAGGAGGGTAGCTCCCTGGTGAGGTGCTCACCCCCTGGGGAGCGCTGTGGGCTGACCCCTGACGGTTAGCGCCCCCATAGGGAAACGTTGGCTGTGCTCCCATTGGAGGTGCAGGGAAGTCAGCTGGCCGCCTCTCTGCCGGTGCATTGGGATGCCCTGCTCCTGCTCCTGGAGACTGCATTTGTGAGAGGTTACCCATGTTACCGCTGAACTGTGAGTGCATGCCCGGGGAATGGAGAGCCTGTACATGTCCATCTCCAGGTATTCTCATGGGCTCCTGCATGCCCATGCCTGGCCTAAACATCATCCCAGCCCCATTCTGCTGCAGACCCATATCATGGGGCCCTGATTCATTTCCCGCTCCACCCATACGCCGTGACATCATCTCCCCAGGTGGGTGGGACCCCTGGAACCAGGAGTTCTCCTGAGTGACATGAGGATTTTGTCCATCAATGTTGGGCATCCTGCCACCAGTCTCTCTGTCGAAGTTGGGCTGAGGCATGCCCCCCACTGGGCCTCCGTGAGCCATCGGGCCAGGAGGCACTTCACCGTGGTGACCAAGCTGCTGCAGACTAGGTTGCCTCATCCTCTGCTGCTGGTTGCGAGACGCCATCTGTTTTATCATCATGGCTGCGTTCTGGCGCTGCTGCAGAGACTGCTGCTCAGGCCCAGGATGCTGCAGGGGACCTGGTGGGAAGCCTTCACTCACAGGTGGAGTGAACTCTCCAGGCAGGCCAGGGTATGCAGAGGGAGAGAGGTGGTTATCCATAGCACCACACCAGCCTTCACCACCATGTGCATTAGGAAAGTCAAATCTTGGCCTTTTCGCCATGTTCATATAAGGAGAGTCAAAGTGTTGAAGCCTCTGATTCGGGGGCTGTTGGGAGGGAGGAGGAGCTGGCTGTTGCATATTAAACATGGGGTCCCCATAGGGGTGCAGACCCCTATTTTCCAGTCTGTGAATGGGATATTCAAACTGGTTGTGTTGGCCAGGAATCATGACCCCTCCATCCAGAATGTTAGGGTTAGTGGAGCCGGGCTCAGCCTGAGGGGGTCGGGGGAGGCCAGGGGGGCATGAGTTCTGCCTGGCTATCAAACTAGCCTGTTGTTGCTGTTGCATGAGAGGATGTCTTGTATTGACCCCCGGCTCCATTCCCACGGGCACCTTCCGGCCATTTCCAAAGCGCTCAAAAAACACTCCATGCTGAGGCTGCTGGGGTTGTGGCGGTGGCTGATGTCCCTTAGAGATGCCCTGCATACCTGGTGTCCGTGGCATGCCAGGGTTCCCTGGGAAATTCCCGCCAGGAACAGGCCTTCCTGGCCCAAAGTGGGGTAACTGAGATTCTGATTCTGATGGGGAAAATACAGGAACATCAAAATGTCCAGATGGTGGCTCACTAGGGAAGTTATACTCTAATCCCTCCACAGCTCCCTGGTTTGGCATCCGCCGAGACTCCAGGCCATGAGACTCAGAGGAGGAGGATGAAGAGGAGGGGAGACCATGGAAGGAGGCTGCTCTGTTAGGGGACTGATCGAGGGGTAGACAGGGAGCAGGGACAGCATGGCTGCCACTGGGAGGCCCGTGATGTTGAAAGTCAGGCATATTACCAGGCCGCTGCTGCTGTTGCTGCTGCTGCTGCTGGGGAAAGCCATCCCCTGCCTGTCCCTCAGAGAGAGGATCAAATCCTTCTCCAAAGCCCTGCTGTGGTCCCATGCCATTGTTGTTGAAGCCCATTAACCTGCCACCGTGCAGGCATGATGACCCTGGCTCTGGGCCTCCAAAATTCCCACTGAAATGTGGGTGATGTTGGTGGGGGTGAGGTTGATGGCCGTGAGGATGTCCTTGGTGAGGTTGCTGGTTGTTAAAAAATCCATGCATGGGTCCTTGCTGCTGCTGCTGCTGCTGCTGAAGTCCGCTGCCTGCATGCATGTCTGAGTGGCCCCGCGGGTGAAAGCCACCGTACTGCTCTCCGTTCATGTTCATATTGAGCCCCAGCATTTGCGGCTCGCTCAGAGGGCCCATGCCGGGTTCCACTGCTCCCGGTGGGCCTCCAGCGTGAAAACCTGGGCTTTTATAGTGGGATCCCATGTTCAGTCTCTGTTGGTTTATGTTTCTCTCTGACTGGCCAGGGTTTCTGCTATTAATCTGAGAACCAAACTGCTCCAGCCCAAACATACTCCCTTGCAATCAATCCCACATGACGGCCAGTTGGCCAGTTTTTCCGTCTGTCCCCAAAAAGAAAAATGAAAAAAACATATACAAGAAACTATTCAAATGTTTGTTTTACACTGGTGAATAAACTGCGTTGCCGCTTTAAAATTTGAAACTCACCAGATAAGTTCTCATTATTGTGGATCAATTGTTTTTGTTTTTCCAACTTCTCTAAGGACGCGTAGGATAGAGGGGACAGACTGTGTCCAAATACGCACGTAAAGTGTGTCTCTGTCCTCGTGTTTAATCATGCACTTGACTGCTTCTCTTTATCTCTTTCATTAAACAGACAAATAAAAAACAATTTTACTTAACTTGCTGCACGAGTGACTTATAATATTCCAAAGTTTTTCTGTGCGTATTTCTCCGGAGCGAACATGGCACTATCAAACTAAAAAAGGAGAGCGCTGGAGAACTGGAGCTATAGAAGTGGGAATATGAAAATTTCTGACAGCTAATTCATTATTCCAGTCCAATGTCAAATGTCCCAGAGCGACTTTTTTTATAAGGTCCCATAGTGGAAACAAGGGAAAAGTCCAGTCGCAGCCGTGGATAGTAAAACTACCTCTGCGCTTATGAGGGGAAAAGTCTTTCTTGGAATAAATACTGGCCACGGATCTCCTTCAAAAATCTCATCAACCGCTGAGCAGGCGTGAAACCAAAAGTCCAGTGTGATGGAAAAGTCCACGGACACGGTTCTTCTCCTCTCCAGGCACCGGAGAACCGGAGCGTCCGTTTACGCGACCTGGACCCGGAGCGGAGCGGTGCGCACTACCCGCACTCCACAACCACGGAGCGGCTTGACAGCATCCTCCACCCGCCGCCGGTCATGCGCTGTGCAGCGACGCACGGTGCCTTCAAGTCCTCCCGGTGCGTGTCGCTCCTGACTTGTGAGTCTCTCCGTTTACCGACTGCGGTCTGGTGCGTAGTGAGCGATCCACAGACTCTCTCTCTCTCTCTGCTCTGCCGCTCTGTGTGAGACCGACGCGTCCGGAGGAGCCTGCAACAAGTTTTGCATTTCTGCAGCCACTTCCATCCGCGAGGTCTCAGCCAATCAGAGCGAGCGGAGAGAGCTTCGAGGGCGGGACAAACGCCTTTAAGGTGGTCCGCAGAGTGAATGAGATTGTATTGTGTCTGTAAATCAGATTTTTTTAAAGACACATTTCACTTTAAATGTAATGTTTTGACCTAAAGAAATAGAGATGTTTTTGTAACATTACAAACATCATCAAATGTATTTAATTAATGTATTTCAAGTTGTTTTTGTTATTAACTCTAAAGTCCTCCACTGAGAGTTAGTGGAATTCTGCACAATTTGGTCAGAGCTGCTTTTCCACCTCTTAATCATAAACTTTTTTCTTGCTTCCATTACTCCATGATCAGTGACCAGCCATACAGATGTATCATCATTGCATCATATTTACAACAACATAACAACAGATACACCAATAAAAGGCTGTAATGTAACATGCAGCTGGTTGTTAATTGTGTCCACAAGTTAGACATGGTCGATGCAGGTGAGTCTGTATCACTATGCTTATGTACACACTATGTAACACCCATTAATGCTGTGCTCACATGCTGGATGTTAAATTTGGTCTCATGTGGACGAACAGTCAGAATCGATGCAGACAAATGAAATGGCCTCATTGATAAGAAGACTAACAGCGGACACTGACTGAGATTTGACGCCTGATTACAAATGTAGCCCAAATATCTGAGCTGATGTTGGGATGGAGGAATGAATGAGATGTATCAGTCACATCACTGTCACTGATCAAAAGTCTAGATCCCAAGGGGTGGGGGGAAATCCTCCTTAAAAGACCATCTGAACTAAATCATGTGGAGGATATTGAGCCCTGGTGCCGATAATCAATAGCGTTCTCTTAGTAATATGCTCAGTAAAGTGGAATATTTTTCCAGGCCAAATTGGTATAATTTACTACATGAATGAATTAACTGTATTAACCTTAATCAACTGTGTGTGGCGAAGTGGTGCTATAACATTTAAGGTAAGACATGAAATAATTGTGTTTCGTGTTGATGTAAGGTTTGACAAACAAAAGTCCCACAGTAACAATGTTCTAACAAATGGCTCTAACAAATGTTTATTTTATTTTTAAAGTTTTTCAGAACTATTAATAATGTGTGATGATGATGTGTATGATTTTCATGTATTAGCTTTTACAGTTTAGTCTTTTTGTTTTAACCTATGTTAAGTGTATCTGAGCATTGTGAAACGTGCATGTGTGATTCTCTGATGTAATTCAAAATGCGTTTTTTCTTTTGATATGATCTGTTGTGAATTTTAAGCGATTTAATTGTTCTGCAGTAAGGAACTTTATAACCACTTAACAAAAAGAAAGTGTGTGTGTGTGTGTGTGTGTGTATTCCACATCTCGCCCTCCTCTGAGCATGGTGCAATTATTTGAAATGAAGGAAACATGTGGGATTAAAATGTACTTTTCATTCACCACCACTGATATTTTCTTTGGTGAAAGAAGAACTCTATAATATATCTTTCCGACATTGTGGACAGTGCAGGAGAGAAAGAGAGAGAGGGAGAGAGAGAGGGGGAAGAGGGAGGAGGAGGAGGGGGAGATCTGGTGTCAGGCAGCAGCTCTGTTGTGTGTGTGTGTGTGTGTGTGTGTGTGTGTGTGTGTGTGTTGGGGGGGGGGACAAGGAGGACTTTTACCAAACAGACACAGTGCCACCTAGCGGCTGGCGTCAGTGACTGTGAAGGATACAGTTTAGAAAATAGTTTCATTAAATGGCTGCATGTGTGTCTGAAGTGGCACATAAATACAATTATGAAATATAAACATGGATCTAATGCAAACACATATTACACATTGGTTCATTAAGCATATACAATTATTTCATCTAACATAATTTATCAGTAGTCCACTAACAGATACATTTGTGCTCCATTTCTATTAAAGCAGGAAATTGTTTATTATGAAAAAAGAAAAGGATAAATATTTTTTCAGCACAACTAAGTTTGTCATGTTAATTTTAGAGGAATCGAGGGTTCAAGAGTCTTTTCCTTTTACATTTTCTTTAACAACCACTGTTGAAATCTTATTTTTGCACATATAACAATCATGTAGCCTACATTACACAACATTTTCTAAATAACTTTTTAGTGCTGTGCATGTTTCAGCTTAAGCTTATATAAAATAGTAATTTTAATATATAATGTGCGGCAATAAAAACAAACACCACTGTCTTACAGAAGCAAAACAATGTAGCCAGCCCTGCACCTCGAGGAGAAGGCTGTATGTCAGGGTTTGAGTCGGGAAACAGGTCAGGACAAGGCAGTGAGAGGTGCAGGGAAGTGTGTATATTTGGAATTTTGGGGGTGTGGATATGCACTGCTTGAAGTGGAGAGGACAGCAGCTCAGAGCGAGCGAGGAGGCAGGGATAGACAGTGATTGTGTTTTTAAGGAGACATGGTGTAAAGTAGCTGTCTTCCTGAGAGCGAAGGAGAAGCTTGTTGAGATGTTCTGAAGGCTGCTGTGCTTGTGTGCTTGTGTTGTGAAAAAAAAAAAAAAAAGATCACACCCTGCCTCAGTATCACCTTGGAGGACCGCCTCCATATCTGAGAGCCAGCTGGATGGAGCATCATTAGAGCCTTAACCAGACAAACACACGTGTGAGCACATCAGACAGTTTTAGCTTCCTCTGCCATCACCACTCTGCGAAGCCCCTTAGAAATACCACAACTCATGTTCACTCCTAAAATGATAAACGGCCTGTTGTATCACAAACCCCATTAACAGCAGCGCACAAGTGTTCTGCAGCTGAGCAGCAGCAAACATCGAGATATTGTTCTGACTGTAAGGTTAATACCCCCGTGATAGAGATCCTGCAAGCCACGTCTCCAGTCTTCTCAAATGGAGACAGACAAGTTAAGTATGACAAACCGATGGCATGGTCCCTCTCCCCCCCGAGTCCCCAGTGATGATAAATCCAGCTCGGAGCTGCTGCTCTGGTGACTTCATGACAATGGACAGTCTACAGGCGTTCAAGCGCTGTCACAATACCACACTCCTCTGCAGTGATTTAGTGCTCAATTTGTCACAATATTTTACTCAATAGGACAAGATAGCAGAAGTGGGTGTACTTCTCTGCTCTTAATGCACCATGTTAAGCTTTTCCTCAGATGGACATATATTACCAAGGAGTAGGGGTGGTGGCGGGTGGGGGGGTTGCCCAAAGAGACAGTTCCTTCCCTCGTTGGGGTGGAGATGGGGTGAGGTGGTGGTGGGGGTCATCCTGTGCAGTTGGGGCAGTGTGAGGCAGAGCCCCTGTGTATGTGTGTCCTCTATGAGCCTGTCACTCAGCTGAGCCATCACAACTCTGTGGGTCAGGGCAGGTTAAACAGCATCTGTCATCCAGAGAAGCGCCATTGTATTAAGGGGGAGGGAGATGCGACAGACACACACGCAAACACACACACACCCCTCGGTTGTCTCCACACCTCCTCCACCTCAGAACAACAGGAAGGACTGAGGAGAATCTCAGGGGCTAAAGTCGACCCGAGACCGAGAGGATGAGGAAACACTTGTGACATCATTGCCAGCCAACGACATACAGAAATAACTTTCCTCTCCAAGAAAAACCTGAGCGAACGAGGCCCCAGGGGAAGGTCACAGATACACACAAACACGGTGGGTCTGGTACAAACTGTGAGTTTAATCTTCACTGTGCCACTTCCTCCCTCTCACCCCAATGTGTTGTCTTGTGGCAGGAAATGCAGCCATGAGCTGCGATAAACACTGGTACAGCTTTTCTAGGCCTTTACTGTAAAATCCATTTTGACACATTTAAGAACGCTGTGAGCCGTGCTTATGTTTTGAAGCAATGAAGCTGGACGTTCTGGCTCTCACAAAGTGTTTTCAGCTCTGAACATCAAGTCTTTCTGCAGCAACATGCCTGGATGTCCTGCTGAGTCTGGTCTTGAGCCTCCCTTTGGGATTTATTTCTTCTCTTCATCTGTTGCCTCATCTATTTAAACGACAGGGGCTCACTCCTGACATGTCCCTTCATCTTCTGTGCGAGTGAGACACATGGATGGATGGATACATGCCGACTGTAGACTACTGTGGAGCTGCCACTTACCAGGAGGTGTGTGGGCGAGTCTGCCCATCTCCTCTTTTAGAAACAGCATCATTTGCTTGTTCTGGGGCAGATACGACTGGTTTCCTTGCAGCAGGCACATGTGACCGTTCCTCCACAAACAATAAAAAAGGCGGATATCTCAGGCAGCAGACTGGCGGCTCTTCCTGCTCTTTAGCACAGATTCCGCTGTTATTGTGTGACTCCTCTGACCTGCGGGACACTGGAGGTACAGTCCACGCCGGAGTCACCATTTGCAGAGGGAATGTTTTTCTTATCTGATGTGCATTTTAAAGAGAACTAAAGCTTTCGATTATCAGCCCTCGCTTATCACTTCAACTTCCATCTTCTATCAGAATCTGTTATTGTGTACATTACAAAAGACAATGACTTACACAGAGAGGACAGTTGTTTAAAAAGCTGGATATGTTGAAAAATCTGCATCATAAGTTAGCTATTGCTAAGAGATGCTTTGGGGCTTTACAAGAGAAAAAAGGGACGACAACCAGTTTCTACATAGATATATTTTTCAGACTAATGAGGCCACCAGAAAGTTTACAAAAGCTCGCGCATTTACTTGATGAGCACCAGGTGCCGGATTGAAGTAACAAAAACCAGAAGATAAATGTCCGCACATCAAATGAGGCCCCCACAATTTTTTTTTTTTACTATGTCCTGGGTAATGTTACAGGCACAGGCCCTTCTTCTGATACCTTTGACCACAGATTGCTTAAACATGGGGTCACAATGACAATGACCTGTGACCACCAAAAACTAATTTAGTTTGTCCTTGAGTCGGAGTATGGACACATCCCTTCCTCCAACAAACACACAATCAGACATGAGCAAAATGTGAACTAGATAAACCTTTTATTTGATATTTAGATACAATAAGAAGATGGCACACAAAGATTGACAGAAAGAAAAAGGCACAAAATATCGTACATTCACTACCAGGTCCCCTGAATTTCAAAAAGCTGATCAGAAACATTAAAAAGCAAGCAGCTCAGAAATTAAACAATCATAGATTTCATAAATTAGGATAAGACTGTACAGTAGCTATGTGAATACTACCAGATGGAAAACCACTGATGAAAGTTATTCTCTTTAGCCACTGGGTTCTGTATTCAGCAGACAGCAAGAATCATTACAATAGACTTGGAAACAATGATTATATTTGTTCACTCTTTGAATGCATACTGCCCCACCAGAACAGAAACAAAGACCAACTGACTGACTCATGTACTCCAACTAGACTTTATCACAATCAGCTCCTGTCATATTCAAACTTTAGCACCACACTTCCCACAGTAAACTATGGGACGGTGAGAGAAACTCAGTGGTCTGGGGCAAGTGATGAGCAGGAATATCAAAGAGACCCATGCGCTGTATTGTTCACCTGAGATTTGTTTTTTTGAAAAATTTTGTCTCAGACTCAAATGTTCCTTTATCTAAAACGGTCTACAGTTGCTGAATACATGTAAACATATCAGAAATCCATTTATGCTATTTCGTACAAGCCAATAACCCATTACTAAAGGAAGTGATCATATTCCCTCGCCAGAGAGAATGAAAATAAAAACATCTTTGAACAAAGTATCACTGCATCAGTGTCTTAAAAATGTGGATAATAGCTCTCTATAAAAACAAACCCCAGATTGCTGTTGCACAACTGGAGACACACCAGGAAAAACCCCACAAACAGTAAGAATGAGCCAAGGAAACCATTTGTACTGTATATAGTTATGTATATAACACTAGAGATGATCAGACCTTTAGGCCAGTGCTGCGTGTCTGAAGCCAAGTTGTGTCATCATAATGGCATATCCATTAACATGGCGGGTTTGAGGCACAGATGTAAATCAGCCCTTTGGAGCAACAGTGCACACTGGCTGTTACAGCACAAACATACAAAGTTCTTGCTGAAGGAATTTCAATTGCTCAGGCGCTGTGACACATAATCAGGAAACAAGGGAATCACATGGCATTCTACACCCTGAAGAAAACAAGGAGTCATCATAAATCAACTTTGCTCATCAAGCTCTGTGTGATATGATTTACTCCCATCAAGTGGCAGCTAAAAGCTACTGCTAACGTTTAGTCGTTAGGTAGATTGCCCGTCAGAAATAAGGGAGGTAGCTGGAGCAAAAGCTGGCAGCAGAGGTACAAGAGGTTTGATAGGAACGATAAATACAAAGGTCTGGAGATTAAGGCAAGCAAGTGTGTGGCGCTGGTGTCGTGTGTGCACTGATAAGGCAGCCATGAATCTGTAAACACATGAAAACAGAGGAGGCCGTTCGGAGGTGGTCTACCTCAGAGAACCACGTGTGTGGGGGGGTATGGTGACAAGAGGTGCAGCACCATCTGTGGCCGTTTTTCAGTGCCTTGTCTCTCAAGGGACATCTGTAAGGGAGGGGAATGCTGTGTTGTACGTTGTGTGAGAATGTCTTCTGAATATGGAGTGTTTGTGAAAGGGGGGGGAAAAAAAAGTCAGTGTGAGCTGTAAACACTTCCAAGGTAACATCCTTTAGCTGAACAAGCTTGCATGGATCTGCCCAGCATGAGCTTTTAAGAGATCAGTCACCACAAAGGCATCTGCACCTGCAAGTGTGGGTGAAAATGAATTCACGTTTATCCTAATGTGCGCGATGTATGCGTGTCATATGGACGTGTATGTGGGGGAGTTCTATTAAATCTGTATGGGAGTGAGAGTGAATACCTGTTCGGGCATGATTGTCAGTGCTAATAAGATGCAGTGCTTTGGGTGAGGTGGGGGGAGGATTGCAATGGGCCAAGGTGCCAAGGGTGTTAGTAATCTCTTAATGGAGGCTGTGGCAGGAAGAAACATGAGTATGACAAACAGACAGACTCATGCCAGGGAATGCAAACCACCGAACCACACTGTGTACAGTTAAAACCAAGGAGACAAAGATCATCAAGAGAGGAATGTTTTAGAGGATAAACATTAGCAAAAAAGGAAGGGAAAGAGGAAAACCAAGAAAGTACAGAGGAAACATTTGGTCCTACACCTGCCACTGTGAAATCAAACCAATGAATTGCTTTTGTAAAAAAATCTCTCTGCAAGTAGCTCCTCTTCACATCTCTCCAGAATTTTGGGTCTCGTCAATAACATGATGCTGAAACCTGGCGTTTCTCTGCCCAGGGGATCAAAATTAACCAGAGTCTTATCAGCAGGGATCATGATGGTTTCTAGAAATCAATTCCTCAGTTGATAGAATGTCTATGATTGGGTGCAAGCCAGAGATCTGCTCTATTGATTGTAGGTAGCAGTGCCCCCCCCTGCCCACAGCCTGGACCAGTTAAGGTAAAAAAAAAAAAAGAAAAAAAAAAAAAGTGGCACCATAGCCATAGCTGTTGTCATCATGGGTGTTTAAGATCTGTTGCCTTTTCATTTTTCTGCAGCGCTGGTTCCTCGAACTTCACCCTGTCTGCGAAGCTGTGGGGGGAAATAAAAAGAAGAGCGTTAGGCTTGTGTAAGCTGAACAGGTGAGGGCCGGTTCGGTGGATGTTCGCATTCAGTGGAAACCTTCATGAATGTTTGCTACTAAGAGTGCAAAGTTGTTCTAAGTTTCACTAGCATCACAAACTAAACAAAACAAAAAGTATTTTTACAGCTAAAATTTTAAAATCTTCTCTAAAGTCCTCAATCGTCTTGTTTGTACTCCAGCTGGATAAAAGCATCACTTTCCCCATTCTCCCATCCTGAGGCTGATGGCTTTGGAAAGTCAATTAGTGCTACGATCTGATAGGCGAACACCTTAATAGAACAGTTCAAACCAACAGTGGCTCTAAACAGAGGAATAGACAGATCTGATGAAATGGCACGAGGATTCACCCTCCCACACCCCTCTGCTCTTGCTCAATCACAGCACAGACTCCTTCTCAACTACAGGATTCCATTTGTATGTTAATGAGGACAAGGGAGCCATCTTGAAGCCAAGCCCCCCCCTCTTTTCTTGCCCTTTCTCTCATGCCTTCCCCCTCTTACGCTGACACCACCCGGTGGTATACGCAAAAAGCCAACATGACTGCTGGTTCAACACAGAGTTTCTCATTCACACGCTGCAGCCTTGTCGACAACCTGAATGGTCAAGTTTGTGTGTGTAGGCTTTGGCCGTCATCACGCAGTTTGGTCCGAAACAGTCTCGACTTTGACCCTGCTAACCCTAAAGCCCAGAGGTTCAGGCCTCGTCAGCCTCCTCACCGCAGCCTTCTTTGATGGTAACCGCCTGTTTACTTACTCCAAGAGAAAATGGGAAACACATGCTGAATTGGGCGAGATGGGGGTTTTGGGGGGGGGGGGGGGGGGGGGCTGCATGCTGGTAGTAAGCCAGGAATGTTTGAGCCAGGTTCACTTTGGCCAGTCCGGCCTGGATTCCTCCCTTTTTCTCCTTCTACGGCCAAACGCTCTGAGATTGATATTTTGATTTGTTCCAAAGAGCAAACCAGTGGTCAGACATTACAGAGGGTGACTCACAGAAATTAAAGCCTGCGATTTAAAAAGAGGGACCGCTTCTCTTCTCTGTCATGTGTTCCTCTTTGGGGAGGCTCTAGATTGCAGGTACTAGTCTTGAGCAGGTTGTCTGCAGATTTTTTATTTTTTTTCCCCTCAAACTGCTGGCCCCCCTCTTAAAAAATAGCATGTGTGATTCTGAGACAGTTTTCCCAGATGTCTGGATATATTCAGAAGACAACAACTTGCACACAGAACTATGGACACATGTACAACACACCATTTTCACTGGGTCGGCATAAGAACGAACAACATAGCATAAACGTCATACATCTCTATGACCTGTTGTTATTGATAAATTCATTCAGAGTGAGTTGTGGGGTTGCATGTGAAAGCAAACATTCATACGTGTGCACATATAGACAGATTTAAAGCCCTTTCACAACACCGAAGAGTACAGCGTGAGCGCAGCATAGACGTGCAGCAACACAGAAACCCCACAGGGAGCAGAGAACGGCCTTTACCAGTGACAAAATAGAGAGCAATACTCAGTTTCTACCTGGCCTAGCTACTGGTCTGCAGGCTTTGTACCTCGCACAGAGCCCTTCTTACGCATCTGGACAAAAGTAAAATAAAGGAGATCACAGACAGAGCAACGAGGAAGCCTGTGGTGGGCAGCTAGCCCCAAGCAACGCTACGTATGTTTTAAAAATGTTTTATTATGAATCCTAAAATGTATTCTGAAATAAAGATGTAATAATTATAGAGCAAAATGTAATCAAAGAATACCATGCTCAATTGTCACATTACTTTTACTACTTTTGGGAACCCAGTGATATAATGTAATGTTTTCTGATTTTTCTACCCACAGAAAAACAGAGAGCAGACAAAGCAAAACATAAAATACATTCATAAAATATATTGGTATTTAGTATCAGGAGTACAAGAAAAGTCTGTTTAAATAGTTTAATGTTAAATCATACATTCCACACATTTTAATGGGTTATGCAAAACAGAAACATGAATATTCATTGTATAAAATAGAAAAGTTATTATGCCAAATAATTATTATTTAAAACAATGGCACTTTAACACTTGGTAAATGAAGAAAATGTAAGTGGAATCTGTGAATTTTAATAAATATCCACAGTATTTTCAAGATGTTTATCCAAAAATAATGTTTACTTTAATCAGGTTTCATCTGCACCTCTGGTAAACTTTAGCAAAGTGATGCTGAAGCCTGTAAATGAGTTTACAGTTCCCTGCACAAAGCCCAACAAAGACCAACACATACAGGGTTTATTCGTGATTATGGGTCATTTTTACTCACCGCCTCCAACTCCTTCTGTGTCGCTGCCTCCATCCGCCGGATATCATCCATACTCAGGTCCACCCACTTATCAATCCAGCAGAAGAGTTGGCGGTGAAAGTTAGTGAAGATCCTCTTCTCTTGCTGAGGGAGATAGTGTTAGACTCGGTTAGAGTTTGAAGACATGAATTAAATAAATATCATTATGATTAATACAACCATTTAGAAAGATAAATAATTACAATGCGGAAACTGAATGTAAAATTACAATAATGAAACACAATGTATTTAAATCTGAGCATAAATTACATGCAAGTAAAACAGCTGAAAAAATTAAATGAGTCATTGTGGAATTACACTTAAAATAATTTAACATTTGTGAAACAACAACACCATCATGATAGATTCTAAAACAATACTGACTCATTAGCCTGCACTAGTATTGGTCAGAGGATCAAGAGGAGTAATATATCTGCAAACTGAAGCTCTCACATTTGGTGTAAAGTGAAGTGTAAACCTGTCACTTACGACATGGATGAAGTTCTCCACTCTGTTCTGCAGACCCCACCACTTGAACTTGACTGTGACCAGTTTGTAGGCACACATCTTTGGGCAGTCAGTCTGACTAACCAACTCTTTCTGTTGGGAGAAGAACAGCAAGAGAACAAGACTTAACAAGCCATCACTTTTTAAAAAGCTCTGTATCAGAATAAATAACAGCAAAAACTTTCCAAGCAGAAAATAATTGTGAAAAACTGCAGCAGCAGACTGAGAGAATATTATTTTAGACTAATCGTGGCTGCATTCAAAGCTAAAAATCATTAATACATAATGCTTTGGGTGTGGAGCTTGCTGAAATAATTATAAATATGAAGATGTGCTCTGCACAGATAAAAGTACCCTAATCTACAACACACTTTCTAAATCCATCTGCTGCTTGCACTCTGCCTCCCTCTAAAGAGAAGAAAAGGAAGAGGGGGGTTGGGGCAGAGCAAAGTGGATAAACTCCAGATAAAGGGACAATTTCTCTGCCTCCGCCCTGACAGCGACACCTTTCCCAACAGGCATGCCTTTGTGGCCACGGAAGGCAGATAAAACGCTGCTCGTGAAACGATAAGGGTGTCGCGGTGCAAAGCTGGTTACATTATTAACACCTAGGACCTGCTCGCCCCCAGAACACACACACTCTCCCACCGAGAACAACTGTTTAATTAATCACTTCATTCTGGCTCGGCATTCCAAGCGAAAATGCCACAGACCCGCCTCAATCACCCTCATCCCACTGCCGTTTGATGCCGCGATCATGGTGGAGAGCGAGAGAGGGGAAATGAGAAACATTTCTAAATTTGCAGTGGGTTTAGAAAAGTTGTCATCGCTAAAGGAGAACTTCACATGAAACGCATTCTACATCAAAACATTTACGGTGACATTTCTTCTCTCCCTCTCTGTGCCCCATTCAAAGGAGAAGAAGTTTTCAGAAATACAAAGGGTACTGATATGCAAGCATGTGTGCATGCAGAGATAGACAAGAGTTTTATTGCTCTGAGAAACTGGCAGAGATTGTGCCTCTGTTGTCACATAACTACTTCTTTTTTTTCACCTTTTTCAAAAACAGTCTTTTTCCCATGTCCACAGCGGACGGGAAAGTGATCTAATTAAAAACACAAAATAAAAAGTTGCGCTTCTTTATTCATACTTTTTAAAAGCTGTTTGGCTGCCTTTGTTCTGTGAACATTCTTGAAGCAGAGGAAAGTTTCCCGTGGTGAACTTTGAGGGCTCCACTGCAGAACAGAAAATTCTCAGTGTTGTAAAAGTGAGCAGGACCCATTTGTGAGGCTGTGGGTTATGATGGGGTTTAGAGGGGAAGCAAAAAAAATCCTGACAAAGTTACTCTGAGTGGATAAGCTCCGTCTTATTGACTTACAATAATCAGACTTTATCCCGAAGTGCTGCTTGTCAAATTTAGAATCAATGTCCATACAAACTGTCCCATTTCTGTCTTCATCCTTTGTCTCACAAAGTCTGGCAGAAGGAGCTCGGAATAAAACCTTTATCTGAGCTGATGACTTAAAATTTCTATTAAATCCAGTTAGAGCAAAGAAAGAGGTGATTTGTCTTCATCAAACTGCAGCTACAGAGCTACAGATTCCACTCTTACCTTCCACCAGCTCTGATTACAGGCACTAGTCTATGTGAAAACAAATCCACTGTCTACAAATTAAATACAAGACAAATACTGTGTAAGTTCAAGACTACGTAAATGTGTTTTTGCTACACTACAATTTAAAGCATCTCCTTTTTCTTTGAATAACTGCTAAAGTTCAGTCAAGTTTCATAGTGACCATGACTGAAGAACATTTTCCAAGTCCAGCCACAAATTCTTGATTTGATTGAGGTCTGGACTGTGACTCTGGAACTCCACAACACGAACATCGTTTTGTGTTTAGGCATTTCCTGAGTAACTTTAAGTTTATTTTTGGGGTTGTTGTCTTGGTAGAAAATAAACCTCCCAAGCAGCAGTTCTCTTGCAGACTGTAGCAGCCTTTCTTCTTTCTTATGCTACATTACTTTTACCCGCCATCTTCATAAACCCTCTGAGAGTCAGTGCAGAGAAGCGTCCCCACAGCGTGATACTGCCACCAGCAGACAACAAACACACAAAGCTCAGTGTTTGGTCTCAGACCACTGAACTTTCTTCTACTGTATTTCAGAGTCTCCCACATACCTTCTGGCAATGTCATGTGTTTTGTTTTCAGCAGTGTCTTTTTGTTTGTTGTGGGTTTCTTCGATAGTTTTATGCATGTTGTCTCCCGACCCTGAAGCTTCTTCAGAGGTGGCATATGCCTCGCTGCGGGGAGGACCTTCTGCTCTACACAGATGTATGGATGTTCGATATTCTTTCCATCTTACTTTGACCAACTTTAGTTTATTCACTACCTTAAGAAACTCTAAATATAAAGTTGGTTGATTTGTGTGGCATTAATCTCCATTTGTGTGTGAGTGTGATAAATAAAATTTCCACAGTTCACAAGTGCATTACCTTCCAGTTTGGCCCAAGAGGTCCTCTGCCTGTCTTAACTGACTTGAAATTGCTGGGATCCTCATTTGGCTTGTAGTCCTGCAGTGAGAACAATTTATATAAATCAATACAACACAAATAACATTAACTGACAAAACATTGTTAAATTAATTTTTTTATTACTGATTTATTCATGAATACTGCTTCACCATGAAAAACTTGGTTCCAATTTAGAAAAAAACCAAAATGTGTGAAAAACATATTTTCTTTAATAAGCTTCTGAGATGAAGCACTAAGTAAGATTAATTTTTATTTCATTATAGCATTCAGTATGTTACTGAACTAGCAGCTTGGAGGTTTCGACTAAGGGGCGCTGATGCCACTGGCAATATTTATTCAGTTAAGCTGACAGAGATGTGTCTGAGTGAAAGTTTCTATCTACCTACGTGAGTCTACGTCTGCTCTAACTGCCACAGCACTCTTTATTCTATACATCCAGTACAAACAGTAATGTCCAGTTTACTGAAGAAATCACTTATTCCCTGTCGCACAGGGCCGTGGTCCCAAGGCAAAAAGATTTTAAAAAGCATTTAGAAAAATACAGTGAGTGCATATGCCAAGCACATGAGCACAAGCATGACAAGTTGACTTCACAAAGCAGCAGAGAAATAATATACAAATAAATGAAATGGCTTTCAAATTATCAACAGCTCAAGGGCCCAGCAATTTCAAATAAATCATGATGCGCCTGCAGCTAAAAGCTACTTTTCAGGGCTATCGGCCAACAGGAGGGTGCCCAACGTGTGGAGAGAGATAGAAACCCACTCTGACTCACACACACACACACACACACACACACTAATTTGGCTGTTTTAATGCTGAGAGCTCCATCACTATAACAATACAGTGTGCTGCACTAATGAGGCCTGTGAATCGATGTGCCGTGGTAGACGAAAAGGAGCTACTCCTTGAGTTAAAGAGTGTGTGTGAAGAGCGCAAGCATGTTTGTGTCGTGCGAGTGTGTGTGTTTGTCTAGTTCCAGCATACGAAGCACTGTGAGCTTTAATTACACTAACAAACTCATCTGTGCTGGCGGTGTGCCTCAGGCCCTGCAGCCATGCCCGAGGCTGAGGGCTGATAGGGCCCTCAGACACAACACACTGCTCCAGAAAGGCAAACACGTCCGCCTCGTTAACTACCCACCACAAACAAGCACGTACACACACACACAAACCAATGCTTCTTAGTCAAATAGCCCCACAAACACACAGCCATGGTGAAATGAGGCAACGGGATGTCAAATAACAGCAATAATGTGTAACATCTTTAAATAAGATTTCAGTATTAAAATTTGAGTATTAAAACTCATTTATATTCTGAAATATTATTGAGGCAATTTTCCATGGTGTGTACAATTTCTAAAAAAACAGCTGGTATGCAATAATATTTACTTACAGAATACAGTGAATGAGTGGTGGATCAGGAGATTCTTCTGATTACATTCATATTCTTTAACTGCTCAGTTCTAGTAATCCACTAACTAGAATGGTAATTTTCATTGTACTTTACCTATGTATTTAACTATATATCTATATATATAAATATATTTAAAGATATAGTTCAATTTGCACAGTATTATTGGTCTTGCGGAACAAACAATAAGACTGAAACAATAACTTACTCCAACAGTGGATCAACTGTGCACTCAAAAACAACAATGAATTAAATGAATCAAATTGCTTACTTGTTGAGGTAATTTGTCAAATGTCAAACATCTACAGATACTAGTTTCTCCATTGTGATGATCTGCAGGTTCAGAACAACACAAAATCTCTTATTTTTTTTAAAAGGAAGAAAGTCTTGTGTTTGTGGGTTTTTTAAGATGAACTCAAAAGGTAAATCATTGCCGGTCAAGAAAATTTAAAACATTCCATTAGGTTTCTGGATCAGGATTGGATCTTAGCTTGGTAGTGATCAGGATTGTCCACATGAAGGCGCCAATTTCTCTTGCACATAAAATGTGCCGATCAGATAGATTCTACTCACTGCAGTCTCCACTTCTGCATTGTTTGCGATGTCAATCATCACAACAGTAACCTTCTCCCATTGGGCCTTGTCCAGTTTGTGCACCTTGAAAAAACAAAAAATGCAATAAGAGCATAGAAACTCACATTTGCTGGTGAGATTGATGTTTGATATTATGCAGCAGTGCTCACGTTTTCTTGTGTTCCAACATCTGGTTTGTGCCATGTCTCGATCTTAATTAAGAAATTGTCTTTCATAAACTCGTTCTAGAAGAATCAGGAGATGAGCAACAATGCACATCAGTGGATTGAGCAACCTGAGAAACCTTAACTTAGTTACAACTACAATATTTTGACTATATTATGTACTACAAAGTTTGTTTAAGGATACCTACTGTCACAACTGGATCAAGGTCAGACATGAGAAGCAAACAGGAAAAAAAACACACAAAAAAAACACCATTAAAAATGCATACAAACCACAAAAACACAATAAATTCACACTAAAAGAACATACATGTAAGAAACATACGTGTGTTTAACCATGGAGAGGACTTAAGGGTTTGCAGGTTAAAAAAAAAAGGGTAAATTGATACAAGTAGGGGGACTCACTGGTTCTGCAGTAGGGGTAGGCATTCCAAGCTTTTTCATGGAAAACCAGGCAGCTCTCTGGGGCCAGCATCCTGACAAATGCTGGTACTTTACTGTAGGGTGGAGGGAGACGATGGGTAAGTGCAGGTAGAGAAAGGGGAAAAGAAGACACATTACTACACATATCAGTGTTTCTAGAGGAAAGACTGCAAAAGAGAAGACAAATGAACTACTTGGCATTTTTCACAACAAAGCTTAGACAACACTGCCACTGCCTGGTGGCACGGTGCTATTGCACTGTTGGAAGGCAGTTATGGGATCAAATAATGAGATTTAAAAAATAAAAGGCACTTACCTCTTTAAATGGTAGATTTTGTGCGTATACTGTCCTTTCTCACCATCTTTTTCATAGGGCTCGTTCTTCAGTACTTCAATGCCCTCACCACCGCCTGTCTCATTTTTACTGGCCTCAGCCACAGAGAACAGCTGACCCACTTGGTACTGTCACACAAACAACATTAACATGAACAACTATGTGCAAAGAAGATGAAAACTGTTCATCAGTAACTTGCTTATCCTTTATATTCAATAAGTATACAATGTGTTCGGAAACTGGACACAGCAATAAACAACCTGCGAATCACCAAACAAGTGAGATACAAATGTTCACATAAACATTTTTAATACAAGCTGCATGTGGACCAGACACCTTAATTGCTGTCCACGTCAATAAGCCAAGCTTTTCCTATTTGTTTTTTTCCTGTTTTAAAGGCCATTGTTTTCCTATTTTTTGGTTTCTCCTAAAAACAAAACAAAAAATCTACCTCATCACAGGCTAGTCTCACTGTGTCCAACCAAAAAAGCAGTTCCTTTTCCATGTTTTTTATTATGAAGGTCATAATATCCAGAATTGTAGAAGTAAAATAATCTAATCAAAATAAATAAATGAAAAGAGGTGCATACAGATACAATTACTCACTCCACAGTTTAAGAACCACTTTTTATTAAATAAGTCAAAGTATGACATGTTACTGTCCTGCTGTCACTACAGTGGGATGCAAATGTATATAATGTGAACACTACTGCAGAATTCAACAGAGCTTGTGTTAGATCTGTGGTGTGGGAGCAAGGTAGGTGTCTTTTCTTTTTTTTTTTTTTTTTT